TGCCCCCTCAGTATCCTGATTGTCTCTGGGTCTGACCTGGTCCTGCTCAGAGGCCTCTCTCTTCAGGTGCTGTTAGGTGGTGCCCCACACAGGGCCTCCTGCACCTGCATGCTGGGCTTGTACCTTCCTCCCAAATTCAGCGGCTCTGGGAGGCAGAGCTTATTTTGAGACCCTTCGCACCACAGGATTCCTTGTGCACAGGCCCCGACACAGACTTCTGGGAGGATAGCCCCTGCCTGGCGTGCCTGGTGGGGACTGCTCTGCTGGAACCCTGAGTGATCTGTTGACCGACTACAGGACAAGTTGGCTCAAGGTCAAGAGGGCTGTGCCAGGAGAGCACCTTGGCCTCACAGACTCTGCTGGGGGCTATGTTGGGAGACAGAGCTCTGAGTCAGAGACCTGGCAGTGTAGCTCATTTCTCACTTCTGTGCAGCTCAGTACAGGCCCCCTGGGAGAGCTCGGAGGGTAGCATGGTGCCTGAGGGTCAGGATCAGCCGCTGCTTCATCATCCAGCCTCTCCCTGAGGCTCCCACTCTCCACTCCCCTAATTCGGGGCCAAGGAAGTCTGGAAGTCACTGTCTCCAGGGAATACGGAGTCTCGGAGTCTCATTTTTTGTCTCTCATCAAGGCTGTGTCTCTTTGCAACAAATGCCCGGTGTCAGGGAAGCGCGAATCACCTCAGGTCAGCAGAAGCAGCTGCCACCTTGGCAGCCAGGCTGGGGAGGGAGGTGTGTGTTAGGTAGCGGGTGCACACCAGGTACAGGCTTCATTTCCAGCGCAGAAACCTCTCTGGGGCACCAACCGTGGGGGCACAGCCTGAGCTCCTGGGCTGACCAGGGTCTATCTCTGCAGCCAGACTCCAGGCTCTGAAGGGGAAGGCCTGGGAAGTGTCCGCCAAGGCGACAGAGACAGAAAAGGACTGTACTCTATTCCACAGTGCTCCCACCCACAACACTTCCCACATGGTGACCCATGACCTGCGGCCCATGGTCACTTGGATATATATAAGTCCTATCATCTGGCTTGTTCGTTGCTCTGTCTCTAGCACCTCGTAAGGGTGTCTGGCACCCAGAAGATGCTCAATAAACACCAACAGTTGGGGTGAATCAGTTCAGGCCTGAAATGTGCCTGCTCTGTACGCTGAGGCCAGCCTGGTCTTTTGTGGGGTGGTCACTGTTCCATGCAGAGCCTGGTCCTCAGGGACAACCTGCAGCTGGTGCCTTGGGCCTGCCTCACCTGGACAATTTGTGCTGCGATGCTGTTTCTGGATAAATGCAGCTGTGGGGGAGGCTGGATCTGTGGGAGTCCTCTTGTCCCCAGCACCTGGTGGGCAGGAAATGATTGAAGCACCACTCAAAAAAAGAGGGAGATGATCCATAACGGTTAGTTTATCTGCACGTCAAGTGTTAGCCTTCAGGGGTTGTCCTGATGTCGCTTGGCGCCCATGCTTCCAGCACCTCTGTGAGAGGGAGGCACGGATGACCGGGAAACCTGAGGCAGAGCCAGTGAACTGCCAGGCGCCCGTTTAACCTCTTGTGGGTCGGGGGGCTCCTGGCCTGACCATTTCCACCTCCCCTCCCCCTCCTTTTCTTCTCAGGAAGAGGATCCAGAGAGCTTCCATTTCCAGGAAGATACAAGACATGCGCTGGGCTGAGGGCCTCTGGAGGTCTCTTGCATTTTGGTTGCAGAATTTCCCCTAAGTCCCTGTCGCCTGGACAGCTGAGCTGGGGACATCTGGATGTTTGCAAATCAGCTTTCTGGTCCAGGACGACATGATCGAGCTCTCCCAGGTGCCTCATTCCCTGTGCACTGGTGTCATCCTCATGACAAGCAGGAGGGGGGCCCCCATTTCAGAGATGCGGAAACAAGGCACAGGAGGATAAGCGGTGGCTTGGCCAAGAGTTACAGGCGGAGCCAGCCCGACTCCAGGAGGTCTGGCCTATGCCAGGTCTCTTAAAGTGCACTGCGGGTCAGATGGTCTCTTTGGTCAGACGACGGTCTCCGTCCCAACTACTCAGCGCTGTAGTTTTAAGCAGCCAGGATGATCCCTAAAGGAATGGGTATGTCCCAATAAAACTTTATTTACAAAAGCAGATGGCTTGGACTCAGCCTTAGCTGTGGCTTGCTGAAAACTACATATGGCTTGACTGTTCAGCAGAGCAAGTCCTGGCACGCTCACTCACTTAAGTACTAGTGTTCCAGGCATGGGACAGGCCAGTCGCTGTCCTCCAGTCGTGCCTTGAGGGAGCGGTGCACCCGCTGGGCTCATTCCACCCACCTTTGTCAAGTTCAAGGGGGGCCCACTTGAACTTGGATGTTTGTCTTATTCTTCCCCACTTGTTTTTTTGTTTTTTTTTTTTTAATATATTTTTATTGATTAAGATATTACATATGTGTCCTTGTCCCCACGTTACCCTCTACCCCCCCCGCCCCCGCTCCTGCCCTCACCCCCCCCCCCCCCGCCCTGTTGTCCATGTCCATTGGTTAGGCCTATATGCCTGCATGTAAGTCCTTTGGTTGATCTTTCCCCCTTACCCCCACACTTCCCTACCCTCCCTCCAAAGCCCGACAGTCCAATCAATGCCTCTCCGTCTCTGGATCAGTCCTTGTTCATCAGTTTATGTTGTTCATTATATTCCACAAATGAGTGAGATCATGTGGTATTTATCCGCTCTCCAGTTCCATCCACGCTGTGGCAAATGGTAAGAGTTCCTTTTTCTTCTTCCTCTTCTTAAAGAATACCTTTCAGCATTTCATATAATGCTGGTTTGGTGGTGATGAACTCCTTTAGCTTTTTCTTATCCGTGAAGGTCTTTCTCTGACCTTCTATTCTGAATGATAGCTTTGCTGGATAAAGTAATCTTGGTTGCAGGTTCATGCTATTCATCACTTTGAATATTTCTTGCCACTCCCTTCTGGCCTGCATGGTTTCTGTTGAGAAATCAGCTGACAGTCGTATGGGTACTCCCTTGTAGGTAACTGACTGTCTTTCTCTTGCTGCTTTTAAGATTCTCTCTTTGTCTTTTGCTCTTGGCATTTTAATTATGATGTGTCTTGGTGTGGTCCTCTTTGGATTCCTTTTGTTTGGGGTTCTCTGCACTTCCTGGACTTGGAAGTCTATTTCTTTCACCAGGTGGGGGAAGTTTTCTGTCATTATTTCTTCAAATAGGTTTTCAATATCTTGCCCTCTCTCTTCTTCTGGTACCCCTATAATTCTGATGTTGGTACGCTTGAAGTTGTCCCAGAGGCTCCTTACACTATCTTCATATTTTTGGAATCTCTTTTCTTTTTTCTTTTTCGGTTGGGTATTTTTTGTTTCTTTGTATTTCATATCTTTGACTTGATTTTTGGGATCCTCTTGTCTGCTGTTGGATCTCTGTAAATTATTCTTTATTTCAGTCAGTGTATGCTTAATTTCTAGTTGGTCCTTTTTCATGTCCTCCATGGTCTCACTATACTTATTGAGGGACTCATTAAATTTATCGGCGGTTTCCATAAAATTCTTGAAAAACCTTATAAACGTGGCCTTGAACTCTATATCCAGTCGTTTGCTTTCCTCCATTTCTGCCATTTGTGACCTGTTTCTTTGTCTCCGCATTTTGGCTGCTTCCCTGTGTTGATAGAATGGCTTTGTGTGCTAGGTGTCCTGTAGGGCCCAGTGGCTCAGCCTCCCCAGTTACCTGAGGTGGACACTCTTGGTGCACCCCCTCGTGGGCTTTGTGCACAGTCTTGTTGTAGCTATGCCTTGGTTGTTGTAGGATCACTGGGAGGAATTGACCTCCAGGGCAATTGGCAGCGAGAATCAGCTGCCCTGATGATGCTCAGCTGTGTAGCAATGCAAGCCGCTGTGGGGCCTGGGCCTTCTCTTGGAAGCTCTGAGTCTATCTGGCCCGGCTGCGGTTAGGTAATTACAGGTTGCAAATGGCCGGGGCATTCATATGCAAAAGCCTCTGCCGAAGCCTGGGCGGGGCGGGGTCTCAAGGAATCAAAGGGCTGAGAAAGCAGGTATGGCGGAGCCTCAGCCCTGCCCTAAGGAGTCGCGAGTCCCAGTGTCCCGGCAATGGCTGCAAGCACCTCTGAGGGAAAGCCGCTCTCAAGCTCGCCCGCTGCCAGACAGTCCAGTATCTCCCCGTATGAGCCCTGGGTCCCCAGAGACTTCCCGGAACCGGATTTCAGAGGCGTCGGGAGCTTGTGTCTCCCTCCGGATTCAAAAAGACAGCCGCGTCCTCAGGTGCCAGATCCTTTCCGCGCGCGCGAGCCCCCGTACCTCTGCACTCCACCTCTGCAGCTCCTCCTGCTCGCAGTGTGCTTTTCTTTCCTTCTAGTTGTAGAATTTACACTCAGCCAGCCCTCCTGTAGTTCTGGATGATGTCCACCTTGTGTTTTTGATGCATTTATCGATTGTTGTGGGAAGCAGCAATTTCCCGGTGTTTATCTATGCCGCCATCTTAGTTTCTCCTATTCTTCCCCACTTGTGACCTGTGTGGCCCAGGGTGTAGTGTGCCCATAATCACCTGAGGGACTTGATAAAAATGTAACTCAGCAGGTCCTACCCCCCTCAAATCCCACTGATCTGGGCAAAACGTGGGAATGTGCACTTTGTGGAGCATCCCCGGTGGTTCTCAGGCAGGTGTCGGCAGGGACGGTCTTTGAGGACTGCCATTGGGCCTTGGTAGGAAGAGAACACCCAGTTGTATAGGATTTTGGCAACTACAGCCTCCAAAATCCATCAGAGAGGCGGTTTAAAAACCCAGCCTCCACCTAAAAGATTCATCTCTGTGATGTTACCCACAGCTTGACAATACACACCAGCATCTCCATGAAAGGAATATAGACCATCCATGAATGGCAGGCTGCCAGAAAGAGTGCAGAGGAGATTCAGCGGTTTGCTGCTCGTGGGCAGAACAGGCAGCAAACAGGGTGGAGCCTTTTATGTAGCCTGTGTTATAGGAAAAGATGCATGTGCAGGACAGATCTGGAGGATATCCACAAAACGAACGGATGATGCTTCCAATTTATTTGAAACAAAGAAGAAATACTTGTATAAGGGAGAAAAATATGAGAGTTAAAGGACAGAGAAAGTAGCACTTGTCACTGAGTGAATCACGCACCGTCTGCCGGGTCCGCAGTGAGACAGCGCAGAGATGCGCCGGTGAGTGCAGGTCACGGCGCCCTGTCCACCACGGCTGAGCTTCCTGTTTCCCTCATCATCGGCCCTGCGCCTCTCATCTCTCTGTTCACTCAGTCTGTCTCTGGGAATCTCTGAGTCTCTCTCCCCGTCTCCTTAGAATCTCTCCCCTTACTTCCTCTCTCCTCACCTCTCAGTCTCTCTCTATCTCTCTTCTCTCTCTCTTTTCTTCTTTGTCTCTCTCTCGGTCTGTTTCTTTCCTCCCTCTCCGCCTCCCCACCCCAATAAGGGCAGAAGCCAGGACAACCCAAGCAACAGCAGCTTTATGTGCCAGGAGCAGGCTCCTCGGAGCCGGCCCTGAGGGGCTAGGGAAGCGGGGCTCGGAGGAAGCCTTCTGAGTGTGTTTCTGCGCTCATGAGCCGGTGGAGCCACTCGATGTACTGGGAGACCCTGGTGTACACCCCGAAGTGGCCTTCGGCTGCACAGCCCAGACCCCAGCTGACGACGCCCGTCAGATACCACGTGCCCTGGAACTTGGTGGCGTGGGGGCCCCCGCTGTCCCCCTTGCAGGCGTCCTTGCTCCCATCTCGGTAGCCGGCACAGAACATGTTTTCCGTGAGCACTGGGGAGCCCGCCTCCTTCTTGGACTGCTCCAGGCAGTCCTGGGTCATCAGCCGGGGCACGTCAATGGCCATGAGCTCCAGGGCCGTGGCGCCCTTCTCCAGGAGCCGGCCCCAGCCGCTCACGGTGGAGAAGCGGATGAAGGCCAGCGTCCTCTCAGAGAAGGCCTTCTCAGGCAGGCAGAGGGGCACCGCATAGTCCGTGAGGGCCACAGGCCTGCTCAGGCGGAGCAGGGCGATGTCGTGGTTCGTCTTGCGTCTGACGTACTTGTCGGGGACAATGATCTGAGCGACTCGCCGTTCCTGCTCATCGCCGTCCTTCTCACTCAGGTCGTGCTCACCTGTGGGGAGACCAGCACCCCTGTACCCCTCCCCCTGCAGCCCGAGGGAAGGCCCCTTTGGGGCAGGAGGGGCCCTGCGTCCAACCCCAAGCTGGTCTGGGCGGCCCCCTGGGCTCCATGCAGAACATGAATTGGGGTGAATATGGAATCTGGGGTGCTGAAGGCACTGAGGAAGGGTGCTGGGCCAGGCAGCTGTGGGCAGGTGGTGAGGACTGCCTGATTCCCCCACTCCAGGCAGGGCCTGGCCCTCCCTGCAGGGGTCTCATTATCCCATAATTCCACCAGGCAGAGCCCCTCCCACCCATGTTGACCCCTGGAGCCCTGGGTGGCTGCATCGCCCTCAGGGCTCTTGGCTCAAGCAAGACAGGGTGGGTACAGCATCATCACCCCCCCCCCCCCGACCCCATGTCTTTATTTGGGGTGGAAAAAAGGCTGAGGGGGATGGTGGCCACAGTGACTCCTTGTGGGCCTCGGGGTTTGTGCAGATGCTACCCACTCCTCTTTTTGGAGAAGTTTATCTGCTTGTGCAAGTTGGAGGATTGATGCCCTGAATCTTAGAACCGGCCGCTCATCAGGAGGTAAAAACAAAACCTACCCACTACCACCGTCAGGTTCTCCAGGCTCTTGATTCCGTCGAAACAGTGGGCGGCGGAGACCACCCAGGTGGTATTGATCAGGGTGCCCCCGCACTGCAGCTCCCCATTCAGGATCAGTGCAGCCTGCCGAGGGCACCACAGACGGTGGAATGTCACCTATTGTCCTTGGGATCCTCTTCCTGGAGACTCACCTTTCCCTGCATCCCCCCGGAATGGGCTGCATTTATTGGAGCGTTTGTCTGTATAGCAGTGTTTCTGAAACCCTGGGAGGCCCGCCAGAGCCCTTCCTGGGCAACGCTGTTCTAGCTTCTCTCCAGCAGGCTGCTCCCCCATCCAGCTGAGGGGAGAGAGAACTCACAGACCCCTCCCTGGCATGGGGATGCTGGTGCTGGACCCCTCTGTGGGCCTCCCTGTACTGTCATCCAGGCTTGATCTGCAAGCTGACTGGCAAAGATCAGGCCAAGCGCTGGCTCCTAGAGCAGGTGCAACAGAGTGACGCACCAGGCACAGCTGTAGGCACACAGTAGGTGCTCAATACATGTCTTCTGTCCTCTTTTCCTTCCTAAAAGCACTGAGGGTGTTGAGTGTGTCCTTGAATGAATCCTGGGTGGAGACATTTTCCCTACAGGATCCTCCCACGATGGGTGGGAAAGGAGTCAAAGTCTGGCCGGGCCTGCGGACAGTGAGGAATTGCAAGGCCAGGGAGGCCTGGCTGAGGGTGAGGCAGATCCGCCTGTGAAGGGTCCTGGTCTGGTGTTCTACAGTCACCGTGTTATTGAGAAGTGTGGTGAAGCCGGATCAGCCGTGGAGGAAAGAGACTGGAAATGGGTCCGTCAGTCTGAAGCTTAATGTCCCGACTTGTGGACGGCAGGACAAAGGGTGCTGGGGAGGTGCCTGTCTCCTCCAAACTATCGGGCCCCTCAGAGAAAAGCCACAGTAAGATGGTCCCACAACAGATGAGAAGAGCTACCTTCGAGCTTTGAGTTCAGGGCGGGGTCACTCCGGTCGCAGACCCCTGAGCATCTAGCCCTGCCCTGGCTGACCGCGAATCTGCGGCTGCAGCTACAAGAGACTGTCTGGGGGTGGTGGTCACAAAATGGATCTGGGTCTCCCAGGCCCAACTCTCAGCTCTGCCGTGGGCAAGGCGCTGCTCTCACTGGGCCTCAGGTTCCTCACCTGTACTGGGTGAGAGTTGCACCTGCCTCTCAGGTGGGATTGTGGGGGTTGAATGATATTGAGAAGCCAGGTCTTGTGGGGTTCGGCACAGGGAGCGCGTGCTGGGAAGCAGTGCCTGCTGCAGTCACCCCAGCAAGCCCCCCTGGGAGCTCCCCACTGTGAATTCACAGAGACCCATACCCGCCAGCTCTGCCTCCATCTTCGAGAGGCTTTGCCACCCAATTACAGGGGCCCTGGTGAACACTTCAGTCCTATTTGGATGTGCCTAACTCAGGTGTTCCTCTGAACGCCAACACCAGGGTTCTGCAAAGCCCAGGAGCGGAGGCCCCACCAGGGCCCCAACTGCTGTGGGAGGTGGGATGGACCCGGGGCGGCCAGGTGGGTGCAACTTCTGAGGCTGGTCTGGAAGGGCCAGATTGCTGGGAAACGAGAGGATTGGAGCTTCCCTGAGCCCGAAGTCAACCCCCTTCACCAGAATGACTGGTGATTCTCCAATTCCCTTTACAAGGTTCTCATTCATTTACTTTTATTTCTAAAAATTCTTGGCTGTTTAACACGGGGGTCCCAGAATGAAAGGATAAAGAGGAGCCACTGATTCGGGCTCAGACCTGAGCTTGCAGGTCTAGAGTGACAGCTCTTCTCACACTTGAGTGCACACATATCCCTGGGCTCTCGTGAAATGCAGGTGCTGGCCCAGGAGGCCTTTGGGCCTGAGACTGCATTTCCAACTGGGACCAGGCTCATAGGCAGCCTTGTGAAGAGAGGCCCTGGAGGGGCCACGGCCCACAGACCTGACCACATGTGGGCGGGTGGGGGGTGAGGGGGTGGGTAGCCACCAGGCCTGTGGGAGGACTTTGTTACAGATAAAAAATCGTACTGTATGATCTCACGTATGTGAAGTCTAAGAAAACAAAACAAATAGATAAAACAGAAACAAACCCATAGATACAGAGAAAAAGCTGATGGTTGCCAAAGAGGAGGGGGTTGAGGGATGATAATTAAAAATATCCTATATAATAAAAGGCTAATATGCAAATAGACCGAACAGCGGAACAACCGGTCGCTACGATGTGCACTGACCACCAGGGGGCAGACGCTCAAAACAGGAGCTGCCCCTGGTGGTCAGTGTGCTCCCACAGGGGGAGCACCACTCAGCCAGAAGCGGCAGCGCTAAGGAACCCTTGGGGGATGTCCACCTGCCAGCTTCATGGGGAGCAGGTCTAAGCCGGCAGGCGGACATCCCCTGCAGGCTGGGCTGAGGGACCGCGCCCAACCCCCCCTCCCCCCCGTGTATGAATGTCATGCACCAGGCCTCTAATATAAAATAAAATTAAAAAAACACAATATCTGGCATACCAAAAAGAAAATCTCAGCTTCCAGAGGCAGACAGTAGATGAAGCTTGGAAGGTGAGAGAGCTGGGTTCAAATCCTGCCTTTGCCATTTATGAGTTGGAGGGCCTCAGTTTCCTCATCTGTAAAAGGGGAGTGAGGCTAGCAGCCCGTGATGAAGCCCTGTGAGACGTCAGCTGGCAGAGGTGCTGCCAGGAGCACTGACATCTGAGATGAATGGAGGCTGTTGTCAACACAGGACTTGGAATGAGAGGAAGCCCACTGAAGCACTGCCATGAGCAGAGTGACTTGGGGCCTGGGGTGTGGCCCTGAGGCTGATCTGCCCACTTTCCCTTCAGTGACCCTGGGGCCCTGAAGCCTTACCTGCCAGGGACACTCCCCTTTGGGACACACCTTGCCACCCACAATTCGGCCATGGGGTTGGCTGTCATTTCTTTTTTCCAGGACAGGTATTTTTCCACATGGATACTCAACTGTATAAAACAAAAGTCAGCAAGATGTGGGGGTTTATGAGGGATGAACGCGCTCATGAGAAGAGGGCTCTGAGCCCTGCAGGTAGTGGCTCCGCCTCTGGCTCCTCCTGGGGCTGTGGGAAGCCTCTGGGTGCAGGGAGGCCCTTGTGGGAGCTGCTGGGTGAGAAGGGCCAGGGGCTGGTTTTGCAGGAATAGAGGGCCCTACTTCTTGAAACTGGGTTCTGCTAATTTTTTTGGGGGGGAAAGATGAGTGCTGCTTGAAGTTCCTAAAAGATGAATGATATTCTGTCTTAAGGCCACCCAGCCTCTCTAACAACTGGGCTGCTATTTTGACCTCACCCTTAGTTTTCGGTCTGCTCCAATAAAGTCCTTGGGCCAGGAAAGAAAGTGTTTAGAGGTGGCAGCTGAATTTTAGGCTGCTTTGACCATGCTGGGGACACTGACTTCTGAAGAGACACAGGGCTTGGGGTGCCCCAGCCTTTGGAATTGCAATCCCATTAGTATGAGGTTGGTTTGAAGACATTGTCCATTTTCCTAAAAGTGCTTTCCTTTAAGAAGAATTTGGAATCTAGAAACGTGCTGTGTAGACACTAGTCACAGTTGGGTGTGGCAGCGTAGATTCCTGCCAGAGGGGACTGGCAGGGGGGCAGGGGGAGCTTTGTTCTGCTCCTGTGGACCCATCTGAGGTGGGCAGGGGGTCCAAAGCCCATTTAGGGAGCTGCTCCCAGGGCTCTGTCCCACCCCCTGTTGCATTGACCTGCCCTTGGGTCAGAGGAGCCAGCCCCACCCTCATTCTCGTCCCTGCCTCCGCAGTGGTCAGCAGGTAGTAGATGCTTGGTGAATGGTATGCCACCCCTTCCCATCTGAAAGTGAAACATCACACAGCCCTTGGAGCAGATCCCCGAGGACCTGTTACCTGTGGGTGCGCAGGACACCTCGTCAGCCTGGAGTGTGTACCCCTCGTGGCACCAGCAGGAGCGCTTGGCCTCCACATGGTTGCTGCAGTACTGGTCACAGCCCCCATTGTCATTCTCACAGATCAGCAGGCTGTTCTTGTCTGAATGCAGAAGGAGACAGCCCGCGAGGGGCCTCTGCTGGTCAGGGAAAGCCAGCCCTGGTGGCCACCCTGCCGTGGGCACGAAGGTGGAGCTCAGCTGCCAACTACAGAGACTGAGCCTGGCACTACCCAACGCTGCAGATTGGCCCAGAAAGGTGGGGCCTGGTGTCCGGGTGCTCCCCCATGTCTGAGCAGCCTAACCAGTGGGGACACAGAACCAGCATGTGGTGGTCTCCACACTACTGCCCCTCCCAGCAGCTGGTGGGCCCGGGAAAAGTAAGAGTCACCTGAGAACAGTACAAGAGCCAAACTCAGTCAGAGACCTGCCAGTACAAGGTCAGAGAAATGAGACTGCTCTACAGCCAGGCCCTGATGCCCAGGGACCGCTGGTCCCAAGAGGCAGAAAAGAGGACCGTTGACCTGACTCTGAAGGACAGCACGCTGCTGTGGGAAACAGTTGTCTTGCTGTGTAAATGCAGGACCTCCCCCCCTCCCCCAACTGGGAAAGTGGGTCCTGTAAGTGAATTCCCACCAGGGCTGCTGGGCATCAAAGGCCAGGCAGACACTAAGGCTCTCTGGCCCCATTTAACTGGCAGGAAGCCTCTTCCTTCACTCTGTCTGGCCTCTGTTCTGCTTAGAGCAGAAGTTGGCTGTGGCCCAGAAGAGCTCCTTCAGGATCACAATGTTCACACCCCAAAAAGAAGCCTGGCCTTTGACCTCAGTCCCTCCCAGGTGATCTCTCCACTCTGATTAAATTGGACACTTCCTTTAATCTGCCTGAAAAGAGTGTTCTTGCCCTGGGCCCCTTGACTCACATGGGATGGTCACACATGAATATCATTCACATGGGGCTTTGGGCCACAGGATCTCAGCTCAGCCTCTGGAGGGGCTGGAGACAGAGGTCAGCCGTGTCTCTGTGACTGAGCTCAGTAAAATCTCTGGACACTGAGGCTTCCTGGGTTGGTGATGCCCATACGTCTTGTCACCCATCAGCCTCAGAGGTGAAAGACTGTCCATATAATTGCCTGGGAGAGGACAACTGGAAGTTTATGCCTGGTCCCTTTGCGGATTTTAGTCTGCATATTTTTGCTATAATAAACTGTAACTGTGAATATATCAGTTTTCAGTGAGTTCTCTGGGTCCTTCCAGAAGATTAGTGAACTTGAGAATGGTCTGGGAGGCCACTGAACTTTGCAATACTTGAATATATGGAAGGTGAAAAAAAAAAATCTTATGCCTTCGTAACAGCAAGTAGGGAAGGTCAGGTTTACCCACCTGTCTTGGTTGGCAGGATATATGGCAGCTGGGCGGAGATGTAGTGATTCTCACCTGTGCCCTTTCCAGATGGATCAGAATTTCCCAGTGCTGGGAGCCCAAAGTTTTTATGTTTCCCAGAAAGGAACAGGGGGGCGTTAAATTTGAGAATTGGCACCTGAGAACCCCAAATCCAAGGTTCTCCGGTTGACAGAAGCCTTCAGAGTCACCTAGATCAACTTCCCACCAGGGCGGAGGGCCAAGCCGTGCCCATCAGCCTCCCACCCGGGACCCTATCTGCAAGATATGGGACTTCTCACTTGTCTCACAGTTCCGGCCCTCAAAGTCTTCAGGGCAGAAGCAGATGTAGGACTGGAGTTGGTCCTCACAGGAGCCTCCATTCTGGCATGGATTTGAGGCACACTGGTCCCCATCTGTGTAGTGAGTCCGTGTTAGTATGTTGAGGAGAAGAGCTTGATGGTGGGGCATAAATGGGCCATTTACCTACTCACCGTTGTAAGAAATCCAGAACTGCGTCTGAGGGAACAAAGAGGAAGCCACATGAGACATATGTTCTCCAGAAGCAGACATTTATGGAATCCATGCAAGGAGCTGATGAACTGGGGTGGGCAGGGGTGGGCTGGGGCTTCTGCCTGGGGCCCTTTGCCATGGGCTCTGGAAGCCAAGCTTTCCTCTGGAGATTAGGTGGGCTCATCTGAGGGGGAAGGTTCTACCCCACCCTAGACGGTTAAGGTCACCAGAGGTCACACATTTCCTTCTCCATGTCAAAATACCCGAGTTTCAGCCCCAACTAGCCCCAGCTCTGCCATGTCCGAGTTGTGAACCTGGGACAGGACACGTATGCACTCTGAGCCTCCATTTCCTCCTCTGAAGATCCACGCACAGGGGCTGACCTGGGAGAAGGCCGGTAATGGGTGTAAAGGCGCTCTAGGAACTGCCAAGGGCCCATCAATAACATTGATATCCTGAGGAATCTTTTGATCAACTGAACTTAAACTCTCAGGGCGGCTATGAGAATAAAACAAGACGAACACTGTTGAAACTGCTTTGAAAAACGAACTGGTACACAGCCATAAAGTATGACAATTTCCAACTTGCACAGAAAGGGTCATGTTAGCCTCTGTCTCAAATAGCCTGGCTTCCTGTTGGGTGTGCGGTGTACTGTGAGTGTGAAATGTATGCCTTTGAGTATGAGGGGAAGCATCCTGTGATTGCCAGCTGAGGTGTGTGTCCTGTGAGCGTAAGGCACATCCTGTGAGTGTGAGGTGTGGTCTTATCTCATCATAACCTGACCCTCACGCCTACTGAAGTGTTTCAGAGGGATGTGATAGATTTTAAATACACTCGTTTAGAAAATGGAAACAGAAATGAAGAGCACTCCATCCTATGGACCAAGGGCAGGTGAGGAAAGCAGTGGTGCCCTGGGTGTGTCCTCACACAAGTTTCTCTGAAGAGGTGCCCACGGGCAGCGTGGCAGGAGAGGCTCGCCCAGGCCACTGTCTCAGACATCTGCTCTGTCAGCAGCATCGCTGTGCAGCAGGGCCAGCTCTGGGGGACTGGACAGGCAAGGGACACACGGCAGGTGTGCTGTTCAAACCATATTTTCAGATGCAACATTGAGGATGCATGGTGTGGCAGAGAGGAGGGTGTCTCTGGACATAGCAGGGAGGTATGGAGCATTGCAGGAGCTCTGACTGAGGAAAGTGAGGTCATTCTTGGGAGGAAAAGTGACCCAGACACGGAGGGGCTGTGCGTGCTGGAGCTGCCTGTGTGTTCCCCTGGGCATGTTGCACTCACAGCCACGGACTGAAGAGAGTTGCTCTCCAAGACATGGGAGCGACCTCTGCTGTCACAGAGCTCCCTGCCTGAAGACTCAGTACAGGGCCCACGTAGCTATCTGGTGGTGCAGAGGGCGCCCCCTAGAGGGGAACTCACCAGCCTCTCTGTGTTCCTGAAGATCTCCCGGGCCTCCTCAAAGGAACACTGCTCCTCCCTGCACTCTCTCTCCAGGGAGCCTGGTCTCAGCTCCTCCAGGAACGAGTTGGCTCGCCTTTGCCTGTGCAGGACGCTTTGGGCTTCCTCCTGGGTGATGAAGACTGAAAAATGGGAGTTCCACAAAACGTTTACAACCAGCCATGCCAAGATGGCCCAGAAACATCCACACTGGTCTCGTCCCCTCAGTAACAGGAGTCAAAGGATTCCTGTGTCCAGGCCTGGCTGAATGTTAGACAGGAGCGCTTTTTCATGGCTGGCTGGTGACAAATTTTATATACAAGGATGAGGCAATATGTTCATTAAATTATAATTTAACACACTGATGCCTTCTGACCTGGTTCCCACGTCTAGGAATTTATCCTATACTCAGAGGCATGCACGAAAATCTAGCCACAGGAGAGCTATTGCTAGTAATCATCTGAAACAACCAGATGATGGCATCCCATGCCTCCAGGAAGCAGAAGCTTAAGAAGATGTGGTATTAAGTGAAAAAGAAGGTAATAAAACAATACCTACTGTATAATGTTTACAAGGAAAAATTTACATATGAGCAAATGTCATTTATTGAAAGAATGTACATAAATTAACCTTGGGGATCCGCAGCTATTCTGTTCCAAAATGTATACGATCCACACGTGTAACGTCTCTAATAAAAATTTGCATCTGCTGTGTCTTGGCACCTAGAGCATTTCCTCAAGAGCTGCTGCATAAATGCGCTGGCGGATCCTCTGGGGGAGGAAGGTCCTACGGGGCATCATGGGCGGGTGGCAGGTGAAGAAGGGCTGGGCGTCTCTTGTCTCCATTTCTCCATTGAAAGCCCACTGGTCCTGTTTACTGCAAGCTGGACCTGTCCTTCCAGCTCCTCTGGAACTCGGGTGACATCCCAAGTGGTCATTTCTCTCCTCTCAGCTAACTCATTGAAACCCTTTGCTCATCTCTGCTTTGCCACCACCAGCTCTCTCTCCCTTCAGGATCACACACTTGAAGCACAATCCCTCACCTTCCACTAAGAGTCCCAGAGGAGAGATGAACTGAGACCCGCTTTGGAGAGGGTTATAGCGTGTGGGAACAGGGGGAGGAGGGGAAGTGCCCGCTCCCGGGCCACCAGGCTGACGGAGACCAGTTTCACCTGTCTGTATTCCTAGGGAATCTACCAGGTTTGGAAGAATTTGAGGGAAAATCAAAGAATGGAGACTCCTGGGATGATTCAACCAGGGCTGAATTGTCCCCATGGAGGGGAGCAACTGTGCCCCAGAAAGCTCTCAGAGACCCGGAGCCAAGTCTGACAAAGGAACACACGACCACTGCAGAGAATTTGGAAAAGACAGACTAGAACAAGGGAGATGAAAGCTACCCACCACCTGCCACTGTTTTCCTGAGCTCAGAAAGGACAAGGCAGCACCGACTTTCGCTGGAGCAGGACCCCGTCTCCTTTGGGCACCTGTAGTCACCGGGGCAGGCGACCACTACTGGGATCCCCGGCTAGTTTCCCACTGTGAGATTTGACTGGGGATTTGAAGAGCAACATGGACCAGATTTTAGAGGACAGTGCAGGCGCCTTGTCTCCACCAGGGCCACCACTCAGTACTGTGAAGTCATAACGAGACGGCTCATAAAGTGTGTCCCCCTGTCTCCCTCTCAGGCCTCTCAGCACCCTTGCGGGGCGGGAGGGTGGCCACAGCCACAGCCACAGCCACAGCCACGGTGGAGGAGCAGCGCAGCCCAGCATCCCCACGCCGTCCCTGGCGCTTGCCAACTGAAAGCCCAGGAAGGCAGAGCAAGAGGGAAGCACACCCCACCCCCAGATTACGTGCTCTTGTCTAGCTGCATGACTGGAGCTGTGCCGCCGGGGACCAGGAACGCGCCACAGGTTCCTAAAAATCTTTGAAAAATAATTCTGCCAAAGCCTGTGCCATCAACAGCATTCTCTCCGCCAACAGCCAGCGAGAACCTACCAGTGGTCGGCAAACTGCGGCTCGCGAGCCACATGCGGCTCTTTGGCCCCTTGAGTGTGGCTCTTCCACAAAATACCGACTTCTGTGCATGGGCCACGAAGTTTCAATCGCACTGTACGTGCGCACCCACACGTGGTATTTTGTGGAAGAGCCACACTCAAGGGGCCAAAGAGCCGCATGTGGCTCGCAACCCGCAGTTTGCCGACCACTGGCCTAGGCTGTTTGCTGTTTGGAAGGAGGGCAGATCACACTCGAGCCAGCAAATGCTCCTGTGAGCAGGAATGTCCCTGTAAACAGGAGTAAGGGCGAGGTTTGGGAGGCTTGGCTGCCAACAGCTGGGCTGCCCTCACAGGTCCCCTAAGGAAACCTCCACCCACCCTCTCCAGCACCCACCATACCTGCAGCCAGAGACCCCTGCAGACCCAGCAGAAAGCAGAGGAGGGCCAGCCCACCAGGCTGGGCAGACATGGCGAGGTCCACGGTGTCCTTCCCTGTCTGTTGACATTCTGGTGGGGGAGGTGAGCAAAGTTCTCAAATTACCCCGAGGGAGGGGGGAGGGAGGCCTAGCTTCCCAAGCCCTCGGTGCCAAAGGCCGCTGGAGGGGGGATCAGGAGTGGAAGGACCGGGCCTGAGCCCAGGACGCCGGGTCCAGGAATCCAGGCCCAGGTAGCATGGCTGAGTCTTTGAAGCAGAGGTTCGTTCTTCGAAATGGAGGCGTTAGGATATGCATCTGGCACAGGCATCTCCAAAGCAGTTTAGGATTTTGAAGCCCATAGATCTATCACGGCAACTGGGAAAACAGAGTTAAACTGCACTGAAAAGCCACAGCCCACAGTGATCACACTAGTCAAAGGGGAGCATGTGTTGAGTGTGAATGTTCATGTTTGTAAGGGAGCCACCGAGGAGACGCATGGGGCTGTCCTCCTCTCGGAGGCGTGGTTTCTTAGGGGAGCGAGAGCGTCCGGTGGAGAAGCCCAGGGAAAGGGGCATCTGCCCCTAGCTGGGCCCCCAACTCTGTGTTAGTGACAGATGGCACCCTTCTGTCCCCGGCATCCAGGTCTTGTCCCTCCCTTTCCATCTCGTCCCAGGGCACAGCTAGGGCAACTCCCTGTCCGGGCTGCCTCTGTGGAAATCATATCCTTTCTGTGAATGGGTGGAGACTGGGGACACCAGTGCTGCTTATTTCCGGCCGGTCTCAGCCCTACTCGCCAACAGGAAGAATCAGTCCTTAGAGGAGCTGTTTTATTGATCACCTATGGAATTTTTAAAAACATGTTTTTATTGATTTCAAAGAGGAAGGGAGAGGGTGAGAGAGATAGAAACATCAATGATGAGAGAGAATCATTGGCCTACAAATTGGCTGCCTCTTACCCCCTCCCTCCCCCGCCCCCCCCTCCCACCATTGGAGATGGAGTCCGCAACTCAGGCATGTGCCCTGACCGGGAATTGAACCCTGATATCCTGGTTCATGGGTTGACGCTAAACCACTGAGTCACACCAGTCAGGCACTTCTAGAATCCTATCTAATAAAAGAGTAATATGCAAATTAATGGTCACTCCAACACATAAGATGGCCACCACAAGATGGCCAGCAGGGGAGGGCAGTTGGAGGGACCCGGCCTGCAGGGGAGGGCAGTTAGGCATTGATCAGGCTGGCAGGGCAGTGGTTAGGGGGTGATGAGGCTGGCAGGGCAGTGGTTAGGGGCAATCAAGCAGGCAGGCAGGCGAGCAGTTGGGAGCCAGCAGTCCTGGATTGTGAGAGGGATGTCCAACTGCCCGTTTAGGCCCAATCCCACCAGCAGTTGGACATCCCTCGAGGGTTCCCAGATTGGAGAGGGTACAGGCTGGGCTGAGGGACACCTCCCCCCCCCCCCCCCCCCGCATGACTTTCGTGCACCAGGCCTCTAGTTTTTAATAATTGTTTAATTGTTTAGGAATTTATTTTTGGAGGAGGGAGGATGGAGGAAAAGATACTTTAGCGTTAGGCTGCTCCTCCTAACCACAGCCCTTTTTGGAGACATTTCTGTTCTTGACTTTCTTTGGATTCTTCTTCTTAAAGAGATGGCTAAACCCATAAAACCATCTGAGCCTGGGATCTGGAGTAATTTTTTTAAACTGCAAGTCAATTTCTTTGTTATTAATCAGCCCAAGTATTTTATTTCTTCCTGATTAATTTTAACAATTTGCTTTCTTTAAAAAATTCCTATTTTGCTTTCAAATGTATTGGCAGAAAGTTGTTCATAATGGTTCTCTCATTTTAAAACCTTTATTTGTTGTGAAGTTTTTCAGGTTTTTTTTTCTATCAATTGCTGTATTTTACTATTTTTCAGGGAACAAGGTTTTTATTTTATCAATTTGTTTTGATTTTTATTATTTTCTTCTCTGAATTGTACTATTTCCTCCTTTATACTTCCTTTGAGTTATATTGGTCTTACTTTTAGCTTCTTTAAATGGTAAACTCATTAATTTTGTCATTAAATGCAGCTGGGCTATCAATGCCACTCTAAGCTATGCTTTAGCTGCACTCCTGAGTGCTCATATGCATAATTCTGTAGTCCTGCAGATATCAGAATTTCCAATGACATTTCTTTGCTAACCTTTAAAATTGTCTTTTCATTGTTTTTTAAAATTGTGTATTTTATGTGTGTTGGAAAATAATACATATTTTTATACTTTTAGGGGACAAATGGGCATTAATACCAGTGAGAGATAACATTTTCACCCTTGACTGCTAATCTTTGCTCTATATATTTTGAGCATAATTGTTATATGCTTAACCAAGTCCTAAATTGCATTTCATGTGTTATCAACATTGCTATCCCAGCTTCCTTTTGGTTATAGTTTGTCTGTTACATCTTTTTTCTTTCTTTTATTTTCAACCTTTGCATAACTTTGTTTTATGGTCTCTCTTAGCAGTTGTTACATCCAGTTTGATACTCTTTCCATGGGTCAGTTTAGCATCATCACATAGGTTGCGACTGAGAAATATTTGGACTTATTTCTTCCATGATCTTTTGTGCTCCAGCTCATCATGATTTTCCCTTTCTGTACCCTACTCTTTTTCTACTGGATCAACTACTCTTCTTTCTTCTCTACCTTCCTGGTTTAAAAGTTATCAAATGTATTCTTGTTTTGGGATGGTAATTTTACATTTCTTTTGTTACCTTTATATTGTTGACATACATAATAAACTTATTGTTATTCCATCTTCACCACTTTTCTGACAACGTAAAGTGTTTGGAACATGCTCTCTGCCTGCCCCATTTCTGCTCGAACACGTGCTTGCCGACCTGTGAGTAAGATGTGCAAAACAGAGCACTGCTGTGCTGGGCATGCAGACCTGAGGGATTCTGCGCCTTTACAGATGAAGGCAGACAGCAAGAGTTGCTGATATTTATTCAAACTCCATCCATATAATAAAGAACTTGGATTTTCAAATTTCATTTACATCAGCAGAAAAAAACGCAGAAAACAGTGACAAAGACATGAGGTTTTAAAGTGCCTTTATGAGGAAGCGATCACAAAAGATGGTGGGCAATCCCGGGCTGAGATGGCAGGAACGGTGTCTGAACAATCAATATATTAATTAAATTATGAGACACATCATTTTTTTTTCCAAATAATTTATACACCAGAAGAAAAGCTGCCAGGTCTTGCACATTTACTGGTTTATTACCACACTCCAAGGCCTGGCTGGCGATGAGGCCTTGCCCATGGTGGTGGGGGGAAGCCTGTCGGCCTCGCTACGGCAGGGCCCGGGCTCAGAGAGGGCTGTAAAGTGACAATTTCCAGCAGCATGGAGGCTATAAATACATCCCTTACATTGGATACATATGTACACGCATCAACATATATACACACATATAAAAATATCTGCCCCAGCCAATACAGAGAGTGTTTCCAAAGAACAGAATGTGTTTCTGAAACACACAAAAAAGGTAAAACAGAAGAGTTTTCTTTCCAGTTCTGCTTTGATTGGAATAAAATAAACTCTGCACCTTTAAATTTCTATACTCCGGGTGATTTTATACAGAACACGCAGGGCGATTTTACTCCGTGTGCAGGTGGAGGAGGTTGGAAGAGGCAGAGGCGAGTTGAGCTCAGGTTTGCACTAAGCTACATATGACATCATTGGTTCAGATGATACCCTGCAGAAAATGCATCTTTATGTATTCTTTAAAAACAATTTGAAAATCCTAATTCAGTGAAGCTTGTTACAAAAAAAATCAAGAGTCCCCACTTTTTTTTTTTTTTATAGAAAAGAAGGTTAGTATTTTAAATTATAGTTTAAATGTCCTTTCGAAAATTAACTACACAGGTGAAGACATTTCCTTGGTTTCTAACTGCTTTCATGTGTAGAAATGCTGCCTGATTTTATCAAGGGACATATTTTCGTCCACCTGCTACCAGGTGGGCTTCGGGACTGCCGTCAATTTCCACGAGAGAGTCCCCCAAACCATTCTGCGCATGTACAACGTGCTGCCATGTAAACCCCAGTAACAAAAAAATAGTTTTATATCAAATGCGGTATCAAATTGTCATTTCATGTAAACACAGTGATTCTTGGTAAAGATCAGAGGCCGAAGTACCATGAAAAATGGCCGTGGGATTCGTCCCTGCTTTAAAAAAAATGTGTAAAAGACAAAAGAGTCCCCCCCCACCCCCTCTCTCTTCAAGCTGTTGGGTCAGTGAATCAGTGACGGCTTTTGGAAGCAGCCCCATCGTATGCACATCCCTGGGAAAGCACCGGACCAGAAATGTCAGAAAGGAAGCAGAGCGGTGGGGACCGGCTCCTCCCTGGCTGCCTGGCGGAGGCGGAAGGGGTGGCCCCGCCTCGGAGCCCTTCTTCACAGGTGGTCTGTTGGCCTGCAGCACCCCCAGACTTTCCGATTTTCCCAGGAAGCTTGGTGTTCTGGTCCTCCCCTGGGAGCCGGGGCCTGTGCCCTGGGAGGGGATCCTGGCGTGGAGGCTGGAGGGCAGACTCTTCCTGAGCCTTTGCTCTGCATGTCCCCACGTCCTGCACCACGAGGTTCTGTGGGCAGCGGCAGCTCCTCGATCGGGTCTTGTCGGGGTCCTCCTTGTCCAGGGCGTCTTAGAGCACCGTCCCCTCACCAAACTAGGCAAGCCCAAGCCCAAGCAAAGGAAAACTTAGGGGTCCGCAGGCTGGCCTCCTGCACGGGGGGCCCGGCGGGTGCTACCCCTGCAGGTCAGAGAGGGGGGCGCCGCAGCTCTCGCTGCAGCTGGAGGAGTTGCTCAGCAGAGCGGACCCTGCGCTGGACTCTGCGGGAAAACCAGGCGAGAAGGGCTTCGGCTCCGTCCTTGCACACTCCGGCCCCTCTTCCTTGGTCACAGGCTCCAGGTGGTGACACCCGGTGGGCTCAGGGCACAGCCAGCGTGGAACGGGGGGTCTTACCTGGGCTGCTCAAGCACTGCGCCGAGCTGGACTTGCCGAGGAGCACGGACAGGCTGCTGGCCGGCACCCAGCCCTCCTTG